ATTGTTCCAAGAAAGGAGACATTTTCTCTCTGCAGTTTGTTTGTTAATAATTGGTTAAAGATTCTTCGTTAAGAATCGAATGGGAACATAGTTTATATTCTTTACATGGTTATGAAGAATGGGGAATAACATATTATACTCTAAGGTTAGAATAAGAGCCGGCTAGAGCAGATGTAGTGAGAGCAGGGGATGGAGAGAGGAGAGACTATAAGAAGAGAGAGTAGAGACGTTGCAAGAGAGAGGAGAGTAGCGAGAGAAAAAGAGAGAAAAGAGAGAACGGGAGGTTGAACAGGCGCAGAGATGAGAGGTGTAACAGGAGAGAAGAAGTTAGAGAAAGAGGAAGAGAGAACGGGAGAAAATAGCACAGAGAGAGAGAAGAGAGAGAGAGTATGAAGAGAGACGATGTAGAGAGAGAGAGAGAGAGACGATCGCTCGGAACTTACGGCTCGCCCTTTCGGCTCGACTATGGTGGCGCTCAAACTTGTCGGGCGTGACTGTGTGGTCGCGGCACTTGTCGGGTCGACTGGGTCGCTCGCATTGGGGTGTCGGGGGTCGAATAACTGTGTTCGGGGAACTTGTGGTCACGGACGTGTGTCGCTCGATTGTCGCTTATCCGAGATGATTGGGGTGCGGGGCTCGAGCTTTGTAGGGGTTTAGTAGCGGTACTTCTCGAGCGGCGAGCGCTAGTGGGTGGATCTAGATCGAGATGCTAGCTAGTTCGTGGACTCGAGAGGCTATATGTCGGAGCTCGGCTGGTCGTCTCGAGCGTTAAGTCGCTGGACTAGCACTGCGAGTGTGCGTGCGGGTCGACTTGCGCTCCCCTGTACGATTGTCGTCGAGCTTTATGTGCATCGACGTTGTCGGAACTTGTCGCTCGCCTTGTCGCTCGACTTGTCGCTCGAACTTGTGCGCTCGAAGCTGGTCGCTCAGACTTGGTCGGTCGACTTTGTTCGTCGACTTGTGCTCGACTTTGTCGAAATTGTCGCTCGCTTGTCGTCGGACTTGTGCTCAGATTTCGTGATCTTGTCGCCGCGACTTGTGTCCGCTTGCGCTCCGAACTTGTTCGCTCGATTGTCGCTCGACTTGTCGATCGACTTGTTCGCTAGAAGCTTGATCGCGTCGAATGTCTGCTGACTTGTCGGTCGACTTGTCGTCGAATTGTAAGCTCGAATTGTCGCTGCGACTTTCGGTCGACTTGATGCTCGAATCTTGTCGTGGAACTTGTGCTCCGATTGTAGCTCGACTATGTCGTCCGATCGTTGTCGCTATTGATACGGAACTTGTCGCGACTTGTCGCTGACCTTGTCGCTCGACTTGTCGCTCGACTTGTCGCTCGACGTTGTCGCTCGACCTTGTCGCTGCGATCTTGTCGCATGACTTGTCGCTCGCTTTGTCGGTCGGTTTGTCGCTCCGGACTTGTGGCTGCGACTTGTCGTCGATTGTCGTCGATTGTCGCTCGAACTTGTAGCTTCGACTTTCGTCGACTTGTGTCCGACTTGTGCTCGGCTTGTCGCTCGACTTGTCGCTCGACTTGTGCTCGATTGTCGCTCGACTTGTCGCCGACTTGTCGTTCACTTGTGTCGACTTGTCGTCGATTGTGTAAATTGTCGGCTCGACTTGTGTCGCCTTGTCGCTCGACTTGTGCTTCGATCTTGTCGCTCGAACTTGTCGTCGACTTGTCGCTCGACTGTGTCGCTCGATAGTGTGCAGTCGGTGCAGAAGGCAGGGGGACGGGGGTTTCGATTTCCGAGTGGACAGAGTGGGCAAATCATCATTAAAAACACGGCATTCGGTCTGTACTCTACGCAGGGGGAAACTTCTTCTATTTTGATTTTTTCGCGAATTCCAAGCAGTTAATGTTGGATTGTGGCACTGCTTGGATATATATTTTTTTTCAGAAATTATTTCCAAGATACTGTTTTTCATCAATTAACAGAGTTTCACCAGTTCTTTAACGTTTCTTGTGGTTATTGTCGTAGTGAAACCGGGGGCGGTGATTACGTTATAAACGGGGTTTCACTATATGAGTTCACTATATCGCAGGTTTTACTATATCGAGTTTAACTATATAGTTACTATATCGAGTTCATATAGTCGAGTTCAACTATACTCGAGTTATATAGAGAAGTGTCATATAGCCGGTTCACTATACCAGTTATATACCCGAGTTCACTATACCGTTCATATACCGTTCACTATAAACCGAGTTAATATACCCGAGTTACATGGTTCACTTTACCCCGAGTTCACGTATACGAGTTACTTAGCCGAGTTATATCGAGGTTTCAATTACCCGAGTTATATCCCGAGTTCACTATAGCGATTCACTATTCGAGTTCATATAACCCGAGTTCAGTATAATACCGGTTCACTTATAACGAGTTAATATACGAGTTCACTATCCGTTCACTACTACCGAGTTCACTATACCTAGTTCATATACCGAGTTCATATTAACCGAGTTTACTATACGAGTTCCTATAGAGTTTATACCGAGTTCATATACCGAGGTTCAGTATACGGTACGTATACGAGTTCACTATAGCCCCGGTTCACTATCGAGTTCATTACGGTTACTATCGCTTCCTATAACCGAGTTCCTATCCCGAGTTACTAACTAGAGTTATAATACACGAGGTTTTATCCCGAGTTCACTATACGCGAACTACTAATACCAGGTTCATACCGAGTTATATACCAGGTTCACTATACGTTCTACTATACCGAGTTATATACCAGATTACTATAACGAGTTCACATTCCGAGTTATATACGGATTACTAATAAACGCTGATTACGTATAGCCGATTTCACTATCCGAGTTCGTATACCAGTTCTATACCGAGTTACTCTACCGGAGTTCACTATCAGAGTTCATATACGGAGTTCTATAGCCCCCGAGTTACTATACCGAGTTCCTATACCGATTACTATACCCGAGTTCATATACGAGTTCCTATACCCGGTTACTATAGAGTTATATAACCCCGGGTCATATACCGAGTTCACTATCCGAGTTCATACTACGAGTTCTATACGAGTTCATATACCCGAGTTACTATACCGGTTAACTATACCGAGTTTCAGTATACAGAGTTAATCTATCCGATTACTCCCTTCGAGTTATCCCCTATCAAGAGTTCACCTCCTATCCGGATCAATCCCTATCGAGGTTACTCTATCGAAGTTACTCTATGAGTTCACTCTATCCGAGTTCACTCTATCCGAGTTCACTCTATCCGAGTTCACTCTATCCGAGTTCACTATAACCAGAGTCGACTGTATATTGCGTCGTACATACGTAGTATACGAGAACGTAACCCTGTGATCCACGGCGACTGGCGAGTCAGACCCGCCGCCGGGCAGGGGTCCGCGCCGAGGCGGAGGAGCAGCGAGCGGCGAGCGAGCCCGGTGAGGTTCGCTAGCCCCATGCGCCGGCGGAGCTCGGCGACGGGGGAGGCGGCGGCGGACGCGACCGGGCAGCGCTGGCTGCTGGAGCCCAGCGATTCGTGCTTCGCGTCGCCGCAGCCCGCCGGCTCCTTCACGGAGCTCTCCGCCGGCTGCTACCAGTACAAGGCCAGCCCCGAGCAGCTCTACCTCGACCTGGACCGCTGCAACAGGGCTCTCCGGGTGCTGCTGGAGCAAAACTCCGCGCTCAAGAGCCAGGTGAGCCTCGCCGGTGGAGGATGTAAACGTTATGCGGAGTGTGAAGTACTGCATTAATAGGCGCGTGGCAATCCCCTTCGAGTACTGAGAGTACTCCAATTCCCTGCGTTCCCGGTGGATCTCGTAATAAATTACAAACTATTGAAGACAGTATTTAAATATTTACGAACTAATGCAAGAAATCATTGTCTGCAACTTTGTGTTCAGGTTTTAGGGTATGACAACTGCGTATATACTTTGGATATTTTTTGTACTTGCTGACCTTTCCACGGAAACACAGGTGGCTACATTCACTAAGTAGATCCGATTTTACAATTGTTATTTACATGAACACTCACTAAAACAAGAATGTTATATGAAGGATATTCTGGGTAGATCATATACTTTCTTATTGATCATTGATTAAATGAACCAGTATATTTTCTCTGCAGTAGACACATCTCGTTCTGGATTTTGTGGAGCTATTTTATTACGGTAAAGGCAAATCCTCTCCATATGGGGCATTATTACGGGGAGTTAAATGTGGGAGAAGGGCAGTTTTATGTAAAAAGCGTATGATCAGCAGTGGAAGTAAAAATTACATATCTCCCGATGCCTGCAAAGAGAAAATCTTTGAACACGTTTAGTCATTGGAGGGTTCATTAACTGAAAAGTTCGGCCTGCGCTTTATTGATTTTAGTAAAGATAATGGGTATTTGTTTTACTTAAGGTAACGACTGTCGCAAATCAAGAAGAACTCCTCGATATTTGGCAGATTTATGTGATGAGGTCCATGGAATTGTTTTATGAAAATTTTTTCAAGATTATTAATTCATCGAAACGAAAAAAACTGCCTTGAATATTGAAGGGTTGAGGTTTAGTCTACAGGAACAGGCCATATTGTGGAAAGAATCTAAACTAGATTGAAGGCTGTAAATGTTTTATCGTTGCGAGTAAGATATACATATTACTATGTCGTCCACAGATAATGCCGTGCAGTGGTTATCTCCAGAGAGGATATCAGCAGTAAAGGTATTAAATAGTGTGGGGGTGATGCTACAACAGCAGATACTGTCTCGCGTTATTTGAAACAGTTACGTAAAATTGAAATATTGCATTTTCTGCGCTACTAACACCTCCGCCAACACTTCAAAACGTCCAATTCAAAAACAATAAAAATTAAATTACTAATATTCTACGACTTGTAATATTAAGTTAGTTTGTTACCACCTTTTTATAAATTGACAGCGCTAGAAATGAAGCGTGGGAAAATAAATATTTATGCGCGACCAGCAATTCCATTGTTGCATTCCCTGCATTGTTGATATTCTCTGAAAGCTAGCAATTTTCATTTCATGAATTTCAAATATTTTTTAAATAATCCCTAAAATATTAAAGTGTAAATGTATAATAAATGATCAAAGCAATATTAAAGAATTTACAAATTCTGGCTTACGAAGCATCCATCTGTGTTCACGAAAATCGCAGCAAGTATTTAATTTTGTCACCAATTTACACAAAAAACACTCACGTTTTCAAAAAAATTGAACGTGATGTTATTTTAAGATCAATTTTTAATAAACGCATTTCATTAAAAATATGTATTTTCACAATCTTCAAAATATGTATTTTCACAATAAGAAGACGCCGAAAACGAAGTGCAATCAATTGGAGCGGGCTATTATATTTGTCGCGAAATTGTAGAAAAATACTTGCATTTCGAAAAATTGAACGTGATTTTATTTAAAGATCTGCTTTTATGAACTCATTTGATTAAGAAAAAAATTGCATATTTACAATTATAGTTGTAGGAAGAACCCGATATTTTTTTTTTAATTTCACAAAATCATGCACTTTAATGAACATGAGATCTGCACTGGTCTTTTAAGCGTCGCTTAAAAATCGTCGTTTAAAATCGTTGTGCTGTTTTTTAAAAAAAAGTGTTTAAAGGTAAATAAAAATTGCCTATGGATGAAGCCGTTTTGGGGGGAAAATTATTTAAACAAGAATTAAAAATTGCCTATATTTCACGCAACATTACACTCAAATTTTTGAAAAATTGTATACGACATTTCAAAATATATCAATAATTGCACTCTCCATAAACAAAAAAACTGGTTCTGATAATCGTTCACCTTCTTTGAACATACTACTAGGGCATCTTTACAACTATGTATCCACTAGTTTCGTCAATTACTACAAATTACATACAATTATCGTAACCTATTGATTTGCAGGTGAACCATTTAGAGAGTTGTCATAATAATTCGACATCTTCTTTTCTAATGTGTATTAATTACGCAAAATTTTAGCTTATAAAAGGGATATTCATGTACTGATCGTACTTAGGAAAATGAAGTGTTTCAGTATATAGGACAACGGGGTCCCTTTCAAAATTAAAGGTGGGCCAGGGGCGTTTTTTTTTGCACACCACAATGTAGGCTATAGCCTAGATAACAATAACTTTTTTCTGCTACGTATGTTTCTAAAGATTGATGATATTTACTTGCTATGTCATCAGCTTGTCTTCGTACTTATTTGAATGCCGAAAATAAAAAAAAAGTTTCTTAGTTATCAAATCAAAGCATTTAATTTAAAAAGGACTGTAGGGGATTTTTATGAGCATTTAAGAGATGCAGTTTCCACACTTCTATGATGTTCAGTGAAGACGCAAAGAGCGTAGGAGATGCCGCTGTATCGTATAAAGCAGGGCTCTCCAACCTACGGCTCGGAAGCTAGTTCTTTCCCTTGTGGCAATTGGCTCTGCCCCTGGAAAAAAATCACAGGCGTTGTTTTGTTTCTGCACTTTTGCCCGTTTGATGCAAGAAATGTATTTTCGATCGAACATCACTGAGTACAAGGACTTTGCTTGTGAAATTGTTGCTGCTTGTGAATTGTGTAATCAAGAACTTCCGAATTTTAGACCTACCATTTTATACAAATAACTGACATCTTGTTATTGATAACCACTTCCTAAATCAGACGCAATCTAAATAAAATAGTTGCTTGAACATGACATTTTCATGATAGCTCTTATTCCATTTGAATTGGCGGGGTATGCTACTCGCGTCATCGAAAGAAGTCCGCTAGGATGTGTACGTAAGCTTCCGCGGCTCGAATCCATGAATTCTCGGCTATCCGGGAGACGCCGCGTCGTTGGCTGGGAGGCCTGACTTGTCGCAGGCTTCCTCAGGGCAGTGAATACTCCATCACTGCCCTGAGGAAGCCTGCGAAATGTCGGGCGAAACGTCGGCACCCCAGCCAACGACGCGGCGTCTCCCGGATAGCCGAGAATTCCGCTAGGATGTGTCCAATCAGGAAGCTCTGCGTAAAGATTTCTTCAGTTTGTTTACATCAGAATTTCTCTTAGGGAGAACGGATCATTGGTTTCGGGCTATTCATTGCGTGAAAATTATTTCCTCAATGATATCTGTAAAATCTAAACATTCCGCTTCTTGGACAAACGAGCATTTCATTCACATTCAGCTTCATGGACCGTCAATACGAAACGGTACGCCTTACGTTTGAGCCTAATATAAAAGAAATAATGTACAACAGGCCGTTCAGTTACTACACTATGGACAGAACTATTATCATATGATATTTCTATTGCAAATAAACTATCCAAAATGCACAAATTACTATATAACATTTTAGTTTATAATTTTAGATAGCCATCGACCTCCTTGCCTCGTAGTTCAAAGAGGTGAATATCCATCTTCACTTCTTCATAATAATTATAATAATAATAATAATAATAATAATAATAATAATAATAATATAACAATAAGACAGAATAAACAAACGGAGAATTAGCGAAGGATTGGATATATGAATTAATGGTTTTCAAATAAATTCTATAATTTATTTGTACAAGTAACTCTTGATTAACTTCTTTTCATATATCACTAATTATATCCTAAAAGGAATGAAACTTTCCCATATAATTTTTTTATGTTGGGGGTTCACTTTACATTCGCTAATTTAAGGTTACATGTCACTTCCTCAAGTTAATGCATTCACCAACAAATTGTCACACATACTGCCTCCGACTTTTATGCAGCTCAAAGCAGCACTAGCAGCACAAGAAGAAGCCAACTGCAAGCAAACGCCGTCGACCTTGGAGAGAGAGGAAATGTTGCGGAATAAGATAAAGTCCGCCACCTCCCAGGGCTCCTCCATAACCGCAACCCCTGCATCTTCCAGCCATGGCTCCGCTTTTTTATCTGATTCGGAATTTTTTGAGCGTTTGTAAGTAAAACATACTTTCATTTTTATCTACTCTCGTATCGTTCTCATGGTGGAAATAGATGAGCGCGGTACTCCGGGACACAGATGTTTGCTCGTTCTGCGCAGTATCTGTTTGCGTCATGAACCACGTGACCAAAGCTGGGGCACTTCGTTTGAAAAGTCAGACCAGTTTAGGGTTGACAACAATGTCCACGGAAAGCGGAGAAGGTCGACCCCACCCCTCAAAAAGAGCGGATCAATACCTTTCTGTTTGTAAACATTTACTTTAACACCAGCTCTATTCCTTTCTTCTCTGCATTTGCGATTCAAGTGAAAAGATTCATTCACAAAATGCAGATAAAGATGGTCTGAGCGTCTTTTTTTTACTTACCGTATACGTACGTATATACGGATTAATATACGTAGTATAGGGAAATTTATGTTATGGTACGCGAAAAAACGGCGGAATTTCGGCAGAAAAAAATAATTCCCGAGCCCTGATAACAAAAACTAGTGGTTCTACAGAATGGCACAGATTTTCACGTATTAGTATTCTATTTCCTTTGGTCTCGGCCTCCGATTCGAACTTGCTACATACTCGTGCCAGCTGCCGACTATCGTCGCCCAAAGTACACTTTTTTAAAAATGTTTTTAATTACTCGGTTTCCTAATAGTAGAACGGAAATATTATTTTAGGAATATTACAGAATTGTAAAACTTCATTCTAAATGGCAATTTCAACTGAAAAATTTGTAACCGTTTGTAAGAAAATTACGCCTAAGCGCTACAGTAAATTCGAAATATGAGCATTTTTTCACTGAAAATTTTTGAGATTTCGAAAAACTTCATTTGAAGTCATTTGAAGCACTTTAACTCACAAATACAATAATGTTTACAAATTGCTGATTAATATTTACATTAGCGGCAATTTGTTCACATTATTATATTTATGAGTACATGTGCTTTAAATATTGTCATATAAAGCTTTTCGAAAACTCAACTGTTTTCTGTCCTTGTTTTAAGGTCAAAATGTCGCATTTTCAGAAACGCTTAAACGCATTTTCTCAAAAACGCTTCCAAAATTTTTCTTCAAATGTTTCGAAAGGGTAGTGCTAATTGTACTCTTTAATATGACGTGAAGTTCATTTCGGGATATATTTGTTTTTTCAAAAATTACACAAATGTATTTTTTGGAAAGACTTCTCCCGCTTTTAATATACTAATTTCTAGTAATTTGTAAACAATATTGTATTTGTGAGTTAATGTGCTTCAAATGACTTCAAATGAAGTTTTCGAAAACTCAAAAGTTTTCTGTGAAAAAGTGCTTCAAATTTCGTATTTACTGTAGCACTAAGCGTCATTTTTTTAATGACGGCCCCAAATTTTCGAAAGAAAATTGCGATTTAGGACGAAGTTTTACTGTCATTTAATATTCTTAATTTAATATTTCCTTTGTACTATTAGGAAATCGAAAAATCCAGAAACTTGCCAAAAATGTACTTTTGGCGACGTTAGATGGCAGCTGGCAAGAGTATGTGTCAAGTTCGTATAGCTAGCCAAGACCTAAGGAAATAGAAAACTATTATGGGAAAGTCTGTGCCATTCTACAGCACCACTAGTTTATTTTCGTTCGATACTATCACACATGGGTGTTTCATGTGCGTGTGTAAGTAGTCTGAAAAAGGATATTCTTGTTTTCTATTCTAAACAATAAACGATACAACGTCGCAACGTAGCAGATGTTACCCATCTAATAAAATAAATGACAATAAATGTTAAAAAATTACTAGAAGGGAGACATTCAAAATACAAAGGAGGACGAAAGGACAATTGACGTCAATAGAGGACGTTCCTCTCAAATGGAGAGCAGTTGACATCCCTAGACCAGATGCTGGCCGCTATGAAGGGTGGAGAGCGAGAAATGTAGAGAAACATTTTCAAAGTGGCATAAATTGACAATTTTCGACGGTGAACAACCAAAAATAATGTAATGATGATGTACAAGATGCAATATTTAAAAGTAATGTTTCATACTTCTGTTTCAATGACTTGTGATAAGGTGATAATTTTGGAATCTGGCTGCATCTAAAATTCTCCCAAATGTTGTGTCGCAAACTGGTATCTGAAGCTCATGGACTGAAGTTGGATACGATGTGTAACAGCTCACCAATCTCTTTCCATCATTATTGTACGAATACATATGAGCACAACGAAAAGAATGTCAGTTACCTATTATGAAACTCACGGAGTGTCAGGGCGAGCTATCAGATGAAGACGACAAGCATTTTTTCAGTGATCGCTCTTACTGTTTTGTACTATACGTATTTATTTATACAATTTTTTATTTACTTTTTCGAAATCGCTTTCACAAAATAACGTATATTGTTCAATGGATAGAAAAACCTGACCAATATTGTAAAACGTTTTTCGTAAGCAACATTATATTTCAGCTCAAATAATCCCTGCTTGTCTGAACTGCATCTGAAATATTTTTGACAAAATTCCGTTTTGAAGCTCTCACTTTAAAGCTCGAAATGTATCTCAGATTCAAAGTAAAGAGCGTACACTTTGATAAACTGTGAAATACGCAAATTGAAAACTGAATCAAAAATTGATTACATCACAAATTATCGTACGTAAATCCCCCAACGGGAGTGATCGGCAAGCTCATTAACCAAAGGAGCAAAAATGTCTGCAGATCAAGGATTGAAATTTCTTTTGAGAGCCAAATTTCTTTTCAAATTTCATGTTTTTAGGAGTAGGTTTAAACCAGCTGCTAACATTAAATAAAACCAGATATAATAATAATATTATTATCATTATCATTATCATTATTATTATTATTATTATTATCTCATTTATTGACAAAGTATTTTTACATTAAAATAAGAATATCTCAAACATGGGTTTAATATCATGAATGACTTTTCATTTAAATAAGTAATGTGCATTACTTTGTTTTCAATTTACAATAACGAAATTCTGAACAGTACACTGGCGACGAAACTTCTCGAAAAGTGTGGGCAGGGATCCAGGTTCTCATCAATAATACGTATTCTCAATTTACTTTTGATAAGGCTTATGCATGAAAATTTTGTACACATGAATGTGTAGAGCAAAATAGTAAAATAATAGAATTTTATTTAAACTGCTCATGTGAGTCGAGCGGCGGCGGCTGGTGCCCCAACAGACAGGAGGTTGCACGTCTATCGAATGGCGACATGTAATTTACCAAATTCAAAATACGAATATATAATACAAATATAAGCAATTCAAGAAAATTAATTAAAACTAAGATGAATAAAAGTCTATATTTAAACAATACTTACATAATTTTATGCGTAGTGTTCGTGTCAAGTACGAGTATATACACCTTCCGCGCACGTGGTTCTAGTTTTGATTTCCTTGACACATATATTCGACACCAGCACATTTGTTTCGACACGTTTCACACAAATAAAATTATTTTATTTAGAAAATGTCACTACCCTGATATATTTTGTAATAAAGGTCCTTTCACAAACACGGTAGTATTTCCACTAGCGCTCTCCGACTAAAACTGCAGGTCGAAATGTGCAATATACATCCATCGTGAGAAGCAGAAAGGGACTTTCTTCCAGAACGGCCACCTTTATACAAAGAAATCATCAAATGTACATTTTAAATTAATAAATTTAATATAAAATGATAACAAATTCTCTAAACATCATAAATAATGCATTAAATGCCGTCAATAATTGACTGAACGTGTACTTTCAATAACAAGCAAAATTCATAAAATTACGTTGCAGCGAGTCACCCGAAGACAGAATATTGGTATTCCCCTGAAACTCCCTGGACAGCGCCACCCATCTGGTTGCGCCACCACAGGTCGCATGTGTTATATCGGAGGGCCAAAGAGTAAATGCAGTAAGCCCAGTAAAACAGCCAAGAGCGTTGTGCTACACCTGGCAAACCCGAAGAGAGCAGCGGTTGGGCACTCTTTGGTTTCAAAATTATTTCATTTATATCGATATTGCTGCAATATCTTAAATATTGAATGTTATTTATTTAAAATTGTATTTTCCTAAGATAGTATGTGACCTTTTTCGATTATCTGGGGGTTATGCAACCGCGTTACCTACGTACGAGCCGCCACTGGAGTCAAGACTACTATTTGAGGGATTCAAAGTTATCATGTCTTCTTTCTCCTGATCTTTCTAAATAGACCATTTTTTTCTGTGAACTAAGATCACATTTATTTTTCACCATTTATTCTGCAATCGTTTCTCAGATTTTTGGTTCCCTAACAGTAACTGAAAATATGACTTTGAGAATATAATAGAATAGCAAAACATGGTCCTATGTGCCATTTTCATTGTAAAATTTAGAACTATAATTGAAAAAAATGACGTCCGGAGTTTCTGAAATTTTGCACTATTATGCTTATTTTCACATAAAACTTTTGAGTTTACGTCATAAATAATCACTTATACTCACAAATGCAATAGTGTATTGTGACCATCCCGTCTTGCCTCTTGTCTTTATTATAATTATTTTTACATCTATTATTTATTTTACCTGGTATATAAAATCTCTCTTTATCTAAATTTTAATACTACTTCTTCCGATACGAGCAGAGTTGCCCCTGGAAAAATTGAATTGTGTTCGTGGGTCTGAAGTCCCCCCGTACAGAATAGGGAGATGATATTAATCTATAATTAAACACGCCTTCTCTTGCTAATTTCACTCTCTCCGAAACACGAAAATTGCCGGCACATGGTACTCCATGTTGTCGACTCGGCATCTATCCTCCCTATGTGTTTTCCTCAATCAGTCCATCTTTCTATTGTTTTTCAACAAAACAACAACGCTCTCTTTTATCTGTCACCGCTGACTTTTGGAACATTTTATATTTTCGTTAAATTTATTCTAATTTGGCAATTTTTCAAGGTTTTGAAAATTTTGCTTTTGAAATTCCCGCGTTCCCCAATTTTATTGCCCTCTGCCCATTTTCATTGCCCAATTTCATTGCCCATTTCACCTGCTTTGCCGAAATTTCAACGGATGATTATTACAGTGTTTTATTGTTCTAATGCTTATTTTCTAAATCAAAAAATCCTGTTACTCAACCAGAACATAAAATTCAGTTCCGGGTTAAATCAATTGTTTCTTCTCTTTCTATCCGCTAATTTACAAAATAAAATAATTATATTTTCTAAACAAAACTGTTTATTACAGTGAGGTTCTGCTTAAAGTTATAGTATAAAAACGCATGTAATGTAAATGTTAACGACCCGGGAAATATTTAAATAAGGGATGGCCGTGCCGGTGTATCGCGAAGTGCTGCTGGAGGTGGGCGTGTGTGTGGTGTGCTGAGGTGACGCTCAGCGCGTGGCGGACGATGAGAATTGCCATGTCGGCAAGTCATGATGTGCTGCTGCATGTCAACGTGTGTGTGGCGCGCTAGGAGGTCGCTGAGTCGCATGGCGGACCAAGAGATGGCCGTGGCGGCGTATTGCGACGTGTTGCGGGAGGTGGGAAGGGCGCTGGGGCTATGGGAGAAGATGGTGATGCAACTGAGACGCGAGACGATGCGAGAGCAAGAGGAGACTCTCTTCCTGGAGGATCAGCTGGGCTACGAGGTGGCGACGTTCGAGATAGAGAGAAAGCTGCTTCTCGCAGATTTGGATATGCAGGTATACATTCTCAGTACACTGATTTAACTCACTACTACTACACTTTTATTAAGAGTAATAATGTAAATTTGAACTCTTGAAATGTGATTCTTACTATTATTGTCTTTAAAAATGAATTAAAAATTCTTCATCTGAGTCTTCTTAAAAATCTTAAAAAACTTATCCTGCCTAAAAACGCTCTGATCATCGGAGAGCGCGCAGTAATACAGCAAACAGACCATATTGCCAGAAAATGTAAGTCATAACTCCAGATATAAGATGAACTACCTTTTTTGCGACTGACCCTATTCCAAAATGTCTCGGAAAGGTGAGCACGTTTACCAGCTAAAATAGATTAGAATAAATTGTATAATAATAACAATAATAATAGTAATAATAATAAATATCAACTCTAAATGAGGTATTTCAGTGAAAATTGACAACAAACGATGCTTCATGATAAATTTCCTAACTCTCTTTTGGACCCTATGATTGACAAATCTGCATCCTTAAAGAGGTTGAGCAATGGTCACTTGTACCCGGAAACTGAAGGTTTGTAGCAGCAATTCAGGATAGAGTAATAATGAATAAAAACTATGAAAAACATATTTTAAAAGCAAGGGATATCGACAAATGTAGAAGATATAACAACGGAGAGTCTCTCGGACACATAATGACTGGGTGGAATGCTCAGACAGAGAGTGCGTGGTGTGACGTCATGGGTACTCACAGCGACCACAGACACAGAGCTTTCGTATAACAATATATTTATTAACAAAGAAAACAAAACAAATATATACACTTAATAATTTACTTACACCCTAGCTCTGATAGACCTACTATCCCCTGATCGCGGGAGCGATCCAAAACCCGATTGAAGAGGGTTTTGATTGTGGCATTCGCCACTCCTACTTTTGAAGCGCGCACAAAGCCTAGCTTCCGTGACCGGATGTCACGCTGGGACACAAAGTCCGTTCTGGTGCACCAACGGCTGGTTTGCCTCGATCGCAGGAGCGATCTTATCCGATTGAGAATCGGCGTGAATCGTGGCACTCAACCACTCTTCACCTCGGAGCACGCACACAGCATCGCTCCCCCGTGACCGCAGTCACCCAAGGACCTAAAGTCCGCAGGCTTCGTTAACTAGTGACTCCAGCCTCGCGAGCCTGGCTCGCATATGCACCGTCTTGGCGCCAAGTTTTGTGCACACGCACGAGGTTCTCCCGCTGTCTCCAGAACCCACCCACTGGCTCTGTACACGCTGTTATATAGGCGAGGCCCACGTGACCTACTACGTCACGCCACCCTCTCGCTTGTTATAACAGTGAAAAGCTTCTATAAGCCGGAAACTCCCAAAGCCTTGTGTCTCCCGTTTCCGCGTTCTTCCCTTTACGGAAAAACCCTACTTCCTGTGGCTAGGCTAATCCGCTCCCAAGCGTCCCCAAATAGATGCCATGAGGCACGCTGGCTAATACGTTACAGTGGTAAAACTCTTTCACCGAAAACTAGGAAACAAACTTGTAATGTTGGGGAATAATGCTCCACTTTACTACAAGTGTGAACTAGATGCTCAAAACGAAGACGCACGTCTTAGACTGGGATTGTCCTCTTATGATGGATAAAACAGTTGATCATAACCGCCTTGGCATCCTCATAATTGACAAAGATAAGAAAACGGCTTTTTGACTCACACTTTGCGGAATAAAAAAAATTCAGGAAATATGAGAACTTGACAATTGAATGAAAAAAAATTTGGAAGTTGCACGAGGTCTCTCATTTCTCCTTGGTCATATCAGTTGGAGTCGTCCCCAGGAACTTTAAAAGAAGTCTGTAGAATTTAGATATCAGATATATCTGTGACGAAGCCCAGAAGGCCACACTCCAGAAGGAAACAGACCACAAAAGTCATATTCTTAGAAAATTCTTAAATGCGTGACATTCATGTAGGTCAGGATGAATTTCCTTCCTGCGCAGTTCGAGCCTAGTCCTAATCAATTGGTCATTTAAAAGTTTTCCCTGCCAAAGCAGAGAAAGGGTGAAGAATTGAAATAATAATAATAATAATAATAATAATAATAATAATAATAATAATAATAATAATAATAATAAAATATTAGTTGGAATGCACTTGAAAAGAAAGCAATAGGAGCTAGAACACAAAAAATTGAAGTAGCACTTCAATTCCCTAAAGATACATATAACAAGTTAGTGGTGCTACAAAATGGCACAGACTTTCCCATATTAGCATTCTGTTTCTTTTGGTATCGGCTAGCTATACGAGCTTGCCACACACACTTGTCAGCTGCCATCTATCCCCGGCAAAAAATACATTTGTTGGAAATTTTCTTAATTTTTCAGTTTCCTAATAATGGAAAGGGGATATTTTTATTAACATTAAAGGACAGTAATAACTCGTCCTAAACTACAACTTTCTTTGAAAAATTTGCAGTGCTCTTTTAGAAAATGGTGCTGAAGTACCATTGTAAATTCGAAATTTGGAGATCTTTTTTTAAAAAATTGTTGTTTTTTCGGAAAACTGTATTAGAAGTCATTAAACCTACATTAACTCACAAATTCAATAGTGTTTACAAATTGACGTAATAGATCTTTAAAAAAATACATTTGTGTAATTTTTGAAAAAAAACAACAAAAAATACCCCGAAATGAACTATAAGTCATATTAAAGAATGCAATTAGCATTATCCGTTCGAAACGTTTGAATCTGTTATATATCATTGCATATATATTGTGTCAGTTTGATGCAAAAGATACAATGATACTTCCATGCCACCAGATAATGACAACTTTATCTGTAACCCTTAACGAATATGATTATAAAAAGCATCAATTATCAATTAACAATTAACAATTTATCAATTGTAAAATTAAATCAATACAAACAAGTTGAATGCTCAAATATCAAAAACAAGAACTAATTTCAAATGTTCATATCCATATAGATCACTTCAAAAAATAGTGTTTAGTTTGTATAAGACAATATTGTCCCTCAAAAAGAAACTAACAAAGCTGTGCTGCAGGCCAAGGAGGCAGAACGCACCATTGGAGAGTTGCACCAGCAACTAGACTCCGCCGAACGCAGGATGCGGTGGACTAAGGTACCTAAGCACTTTTACTTTTATATTCCCTGGAAAGTTTGTCAACGAGCTTTTCATTATTTTCGCCGAAAACGGAGAAATTATATATATATATAATATTATATATATATATAATATATATATATATATATATATAATATATATATATATATATATATATATATATTCTACAAAATTTCTCTTCAAGTATTTATGTACTGTATTCATGTTATTATTGTACTCAAGCTCTAGTTTAAATCCCAAATTTTCGACCTGTCAGACTCTTGTGTTAAATCCGGGCAGCGCGAAAAGCGATATTTTTTCTGTCTTGCTACGTTTTTATTTGTATAGCCCTTTAATCTTAAGTCATGTGGAAAAGTGGTTCAGTTGAATTTTAAGAGGGTAAAATTTCCTACAACTATTGTATAAGACATTTTTTCGAAATAAATTACCATGCGTGGTAAAGATTTTCGAAAAAAACGCTAATTGTCAATTTTCAGAAATGTGTGCCTAATACACATGTTTTTGAGGTAATATAAATCTAAAATAAAAATAATTCTTATATGTAATACTATCATTTACCTCATAACCGATGTAAACATTGCCTTATAAATGAATAGATTACCAAAAAGCTTAATATACCAAAAAAATGAGTGGATGTTTATATCGTGTTTAACTCATCAACGTGGAATTAATCTCATTTCAACAAAACTTGGTATAAAACAGTACTTGGCAATTACAATTTAATTAATTACATAGTAATTAATTACATAAACAGCCTTGTCTATTTCCTCCACTGTCTAATCTATGTGCCCACCCACCCTCTAGAAATGTCTTACCCCCGGTGTATTCTTTTTTCCCCATTGTAATTGCCCAGTAATAATTTATACCAAGTTTTGTTGAAATTACATTGTTCCCGCGTTGAAAAGTTAAGCTGGAATACAAACACACACATAGGCCTATAAGAGTACGTTTAATATTATTATTATTATTATTATTATTATTATTATTATTATTATTATTATTATTATTAATATTATTATTATTAGCCGACAAAATCCCTGCTTTAGCAGGCTTACATTAGATTGATATCTGGGTCAATCTCATCCAGGTGGGACCAGCTACCTTGCTTTGCTCGCCTGTTCATCTGGCACGTTTATACCGGTGGACTAAAAGTCCCGCAACGCTCAATGAGCTTAGGAAAAATATTTGCAAGCGAAAAAATACATATTTAATTATTTTCTATTTTTTTTCAAAACCCAACCCCTGGGGCTGGGACGGAGGGCAACTTCGAAATGTTAAATGGAAACTCCCATTATTTTGCACATTCAGATTCTCCATAAAAAAGTAAGCAAGTTGTATCTGATATCTTTTATTCGCGATTGATGGCTGTATAATCACAGAACTAACTTTATTCCAATTCGCAGCAAAAAGGATGGAAACTGTCAATCATCTCAACAAATAAACTTTAGGGTGACAAAATAAAAAACGCGTACTTGATAATGTCAGAAATCGCCCTTCGGGAGTGGGGCGGGCGGAATATTTGAAATTTTAAATAGAAACACCCACTTTTATTGTAGATTGGGAAATAACGTGCAGAATCGCCTACATTCTGGAGTAGTCGCAGATAAAAATTATTCTTCAATACGCACCAACAGAAAAAAGGTGTGTAGGTTGTCCCTTGAAGAAATGGCATGAACTATTTCGAGACGAAACAAATCATGAGGTCTAATTCATGCTGTCGATTATGATGATTTAAAATAAAGATTTTTAATTTTAAACAATGCACTTGTTATAAAACTCGTGTATCAATGCTTAGTTTATCAAGGTAAATACATTTTTAAAATATGAAAGAATTGCGTACGTTCAGTACGGAAACGGTACTTCCTTGAAATATACTACACTAGCGCAAATACCAGTGGCAAAATGCAAGAATCATTGTAATGAAAATATGTAGAAAACCCTCAGATGAGCATTAATCGATATCATTTTATATCACGGGTCTGCTCCCAAACGATATTAACACTAGAACTGTCAAGATTCTGTATGACCTATTATGTTCACTGGCGTCATTTCGAGAGCTTCGTATTTTCAGTTGGTTTGTTATTAAGATAACTTAAAATCTTCTTGTTTTCTGTTTTATATTAATTTATTAACCTTATTAATGATTTTTAATCATTTTGAACATACTTGTTTCGAATAAATTTGTAATCGTTGCCTCATAATTCCTCAACGGCAAAAGATATTCAATTCATTTAAAAAAACAAACTGATATTGTTCTCGATTAAAATAAAGAGACCCTCCAAAACAAATACAAAGCATTGTCTCAAGCCTGTTTACAAATCATTAAACTAATGATTTTAGTACACAATTGTCTACTTTTTCAGAATAAGGCTGACGCCCGAATTGCAGAGTTAAGTCTTGTCATAGCCACGTCACACCTCGATGTGGAACGTCTACAACAAGAAAATGATATTCTAAGAAATCAGGTAATATAAAAGTGATTTTCTCATATTACGTAATGATATCCAGAGACTATACATTTTATTATTATTTCGAATTATTTTAGATTGTTTGCACCCTGGGCAAAAAAAAAAAAGTTTAAAAATAGCCCTTAGAAAAGGATTTCTCCACGAGTCAGTTACTTCCCTGGAGCACTATCAAAATTACATCTTGACGTTTTTCCATTTCTAACTGTTGAACATTTCATTTCTGTCCGATCTTAACGAAGAGTTACTATTATGTGTTCGCACGCACTCATATGCACGGGCACATATTGACCACATTCACACATACGTACATACATTCAAACATACATAGTACGTATATTCTCCCAACAAACATATATTAAGTTTCATAGAAATAATTTTTGTTTCCAGTTGGTGATCGAGAGGCAAAGCAGGAAAGACATATAAACAGAAAGAAGAAACTTCCTTTTAGCTTCTTATGTCGATTGAAAAACATTACCTTTCACGCAACTCTTCTTCAATGGCGCAAACCAAGACGAAGAACACTACACTTTACTCTTTTGGAAATAAAATTTAAAATGAAATTTGTTCTGAATTTCTTTTCAAATTTCTAACTAAAGCTCTGTTATAATGAAAATAAATTTGTGCAACTTATGCTGAATATTTATTCTTATAAGTACGGTGTAAAAGAGAGCATAATTTTAAGTTTTATTCCTGTTGCCAATTCACAACCGAAATGCACTTTGAGCATGAAATCATGTCATTAGTTTCTTTTCATTGTCAAAGACGATCTGATGAGCTCGAAATAAATCGAATAAATGTATTAGTTCGGTGTTTGTGTTTTCTTTTTAGACAAAAGAAAACATGTATATGATTATGGTAATATACTATCAATACTTTTAAGCGTTGAATCAATATTTACTTTCTCGTATAATATGTTCGAATACACCAAGTATTATTCGTAGAATAGATAAAGCTATGTATGTAATACTGCATACATAACGAAAAGTGATATTTTCAAAAAAACTCGTGTTGTGGCACCACGATGGATTACTCGCTGTTACCCAAGATGGATTTTTCTTTCTGTGCTACAATATCACGTACTTTCTCGCAACAGTAATGGTTACGTAAAATTAAAATACTACAAATGTCCGTCCCTATAATTACATTTCAGCCTTCACTCGTAAAACTCGTTACCAAACATAGCGCATTAGGCACGAACTATGAACTAATTTTCGCTGAATAACATTTTCGCTGAAACTTTTGGATATGTTTTTAAGAAAACGTCATTTAAGCGTTAGTGTAAATGCGAACCTTCATCTTTTTCACATACATTTTATGAGTTTCCGAAAAACTTTATTGGAAGTCATTTGAAGCACTTCTATTTACAAATGCAATAATGCACACAAATCGCTGGAAACGTGCATATTAAAGAGTTGAGGGATATTTAAAAAAATTGTGCGTAATTTTTGAAAAAAACAACAACAGAAGAATACAGCATAATACCTTTTATGTCATCTTAAACATTGAATTTTGCATTATCTATACAAAAAGCTTGAAGACAAATTTAAAACCGTTTTTGAGAAAATGACGTTTGAGGTTTTCTGAAAATAGAGAAATTTGATCTCTTTGTCACAGAAAAACTTTGAATTTTCGAAAAAAACTTTATCAGACATCATTTTAAGCACATTTACTAATAAACGCAATAGCGTGAAGAAATCGCCGCTAATGAACGCTAATTCACGACGTGAGGGGTAAGTCCAAAAAATTAAAGTTTTGTAATTTAAGAAAAAACAACATACAGCAAAATAGCATTTATGCCATCTTAAGCAGTACATTTATCACTATTTCTACTAAGTTTAATAATATATGGAGCAGTTTTTGAGAAATTATTGTGTTTGTTATTTTTTAATATTGTACATACTTCACACAACGTTGCACGAAAACTACTAAAATGTTCATTATGTTAATAAAAGAAATGATTAAGGAGATCAAATTTCATTTGAAGGAAAAATCTCTTTCTTCAGTTTTATAGTTGTAGGAATTTGCCGAAACCATTTCAAACTTTCACAATTTTCGATAATTAAGAATTAACATTGAAAATCGGACCTAGTCCACATCTACAAGGGTGTTTCATTCAACTCCGACAAGAAATTTAAAGGCGAAAAATGAAGCCATTTTTGAGAAAAAGTGTCCCCAGGGCTTCATGCTAAGCACTGCCAAAATTTAAAGAATGCTTTTGAAAATTGCAGAGCTTTGATTGGAGTCATGTCGTTTGGAGAATAATAATTTGTGAAAAAAATCTTATGAATAGTTTAGGCGTACTGTTGTTCTCAGACAGACGGACGGACAGACGTTTGGGGGAAAAACTTTTTCGGTATCAGGGAGCCCAAGACGTGTATTTCCGTTAGAATCTCGAAATTGATTTTCCACAGTATTACGTAACTTTCCCTAAATACTACGTACTTTACTCTGTATACATGAACGTTTACGAGGAAGTAAAGATCTTTAAAAGTACTATAGAAAATTTGCTGGGCAATTATTTTTTGAAAAAACAAACAAACACTAATCCTAAAAATATTGATTGTGGTAGATATTATATGGATTGCGTGTTGGAAATATGACCAAACTAATGCCGATAGGTGATATCGTGTTATTTTGTAAAGATTTCCTCGTTTTTAGACGAAAAATTAAATCAATTGATTTCACACGTTCTGTGAAGTAAAATATCGGAGGCGAATAAAATAGAATGTATCTCGCTTCATTTTAACTTGAACTTCATTTTACCTTGTTGATGAACGATTGTTAGTGTTTCCGAGTGCGTCAACTTGCTAAGGTCATTTGTTCCATTTGTGTAGTGCATTTTTATTTTCCTCGGAAGATGGCGATGGTCTCCCTTCGTTTGATGGCGAGATACAGCGCCGACCTACCGTCGGCAAGCGAGGTTATCCCCAACCAGGTATTTTCCACCAGCGGGGCACCGCCCCAGCCGGGACAACCTCTAAGCTCCCGCCCTGTCTCCCGGCATGTGTTGTTGTAGTGTAGTGTGTTTGTATACTTAAGGGGTGAGGATAGGACAAATAAGAGGAAGGAAAGATCGCGCGCGGTCCTTGGCGCGTTTGTTAAGGTACTGTGCTGGAAAAGTTGAAATTTTCTTCAGTGGCGGCTTGTGAACCACTTGCTCAGGGTAGCAAAACGGATTTAAAGGAGCATGGGTGTGTCCAGGGGAGAGGGGTTCAGAGGACATGACCCACCCCTCTGAATCGATTTTCTGTTGTGATTTTACTCAATTTATACGAAACAGTTGTCACATATTGATCGCATCACATTCTGAAGGCCCATTAAGCCCGAACCGACATCATTTGAAGAAGAAAATTGCATTCCAAAAAGTGTCACGCAAAGTAAGAGGAAGGTCCGAACTTAAATTGATCTCATGTACTACTCAAACACTTGTTTTTGTAATTTTTTCTCACCATCACGATATTTACCGTTACGATCGTACTCAATAAAGAAATACTATATTGTATATCGACGAACATGGTCGATTATCTGCATAATTAAGTCGAGAAAACGGTGTACGTATACGTATAGACTACTATAGTAGTCTGTTAGGAATCTGTTTTCCCTTGGAACAAAATGAAATCAATAACTTCAATGAACACCGACAATGGCAGAGAGTATTTGGAATTGTGAAAACTTCGAATTCGAACAATGTGCTGATGTGATCACTGCAATGTGTTGGTCAATGTGCAATTCTGATCAGCATATATACATTATACATTAAAATAATTTGTTTTCTTTTCACTATTCCTTATTGCTTTAACTTATTCTACAAATGGCAAATACACTACGTACGTGAGATCTTTATAGCCAAAAGTACCAAAGAAATTAAAATTACTATCAATCTAAAATAATACGTGTAATATGCATAAATATGCAAAAATGTAAAATCCCATAGGAAAAATAAAATTTGGCATGGTAGCTATAAATAAGATTATTTGATTAAGAAGGGCTCGGAAAAATTTGATTATTTTCTTGAAACATTTCACACACAAAATAATATGCGTTTACAGCGGGGCTTTGCTATACGAAGTGCAGAGAAAGATGTAAGAGCACAAACCTCATTATCGTATCAAGTTTTAACTGTTCGTAAAATTTCCCGCAAAGTATTCTTCGCCTATGTGAACACTTTTGTTTTCTGTCGTATCGTGACGTCCTAATTGTGGAGAAGAGTCAAATAAAATTTGGAGGTGCCGGGGTTTGAACCCGGGACTTCTCACATGCGAAGCGAGCGCTCTACCACTGAGCTACACCCCCCCTTCGTTACAGGTGATCTCTGAGTAATATTTTACTAATCTTAGTATTAATGCATCTGAGGAAACTATTTTAAATTTTGTAAAGAGTGAATTATAGTAACTCTTACATCCTTGTCTACAGTAGTATTCATAAAAAATTTGATAGTATACTAGAATGTGATGTGAACTAGAATATAGACTAGATGGTAATCAAACTGTTTTAGCATTTACACCAGATTACACAAAGAAACTGGCAAGTGATCGTACTTGGATCGTACCCTCTTACGTCCCACAAACATCAATTTAGATGTCCTAGGTGACTGTGGATAGAAATGGATTCATTTTTCAAAAATTCAAAACTTCTTCGAAAAGTAAATCGAGACCGATGTTGAGATGTTTCCGAATTTTCGCTCGTTTTTTTAAAAAAACGAAGTCGACCCATCAACTGAACTCTCGTTAGGACACTTGGAGAAAAAGACAGACAATAAAAAAACAGCTGACATTTTCTGTTCTTTCGCAAAGGATACCCCTGATTCATCAATAAAATAATTGCACAATGAATGTGAACTTTTCAAACGTTTTCATTCGTTGTGCTCATGAATGTTACAATAAAAAAATTGCATTCTACTCTTCCTCCTCAGCGACTTCCTCACTCTTTGCAGCTTCGTCGAAGCGCAATATTTCCACGTCACGAGAATTTAGAAGCAAGGGACAAAAGCTGCAAAAGTCAATGAGCCAGGTTTAATGCATCATTTCCAAATCAAAAACTACTAAGAATAATTGTTGACATTGCGGCGATGCCGCGCGTGCTGTCATTGTGTCCGTGGACATGCTTCCTGAACGTAGGAATGTCAATGTTAATCTGTCCAGGTTAAGTTGTGACAGTCGTGCACTTATGAGTATGACGTGTCCGTTCAACTGGGGGGAGTGTCATGTATGAGGTAGTTTTGTCCTGACAAAACGCCCGGTGGTCAAAGGTTCTGAAACGAATGAGCGAAGACATGTCATTGTGATAAATAATAATGTTGACGTTTTTTAAGGGCAGAAGACGAGTTTGTTGTTATTATTATACGTGAAAACTGAAAATCGAATGACAAATTGTTTGTTTTGTTTTGTGATGACCTATATTTTTGAGGTTAGAATCGTGTCATTCTATAAAATTTCAACGAATCTTCAAATTGTTGCTGACTTAATTACGTAAGTTCGAAGGATACATGTATTGGTAAAAAAAATATTTTTTTTTTCGACTTTGAATGTTATTCTATGGTGGTATTAGACAGGAGAGTTTATTTAGGAAAGTGCTATGCAACTAAATGTGCTTACATTGCCACTTATTTCCTAATTTGTAAGTATAATATTGAATATATTGACTAATAATTTTCTATTTTATTTAATTAACTATAAAGTTACTAGCAGTAGATGTAAGTGTTGTGAATAAAAATTCTGTGTAATTTAATGTGAGTTTTCCCAGGCATCTGTATTTTATAATCAATATTGTGTACATTATTTCAGTATTTTATAATGAAGAATGACATAATTGATGCTGATGAATTTTACAAGAAATTTTAAACATTGTTATATGTTTTATCTAATCTAATAGGGATGGTGAGGGGATGTCAGAATGTTTAAAATTGAATCATATATTACTCCCATCCTCTTAAGCTATGTTGATAAGTATATCAAAAACTTTAGACCTGAAGATTCCCAGGTAACTGTTGTTTTATCTGTATCTCTTGTAATTGAATGCAAAAAAAAAAAACTTCATTGTATCAATGCATTTTGTTGTAATTTGTAAGTTAAAATGTATGCCATTTGCCTTTCATTGATTAGAAATTGTGGGATTGATTTTGATCATAGGTGTCATTGTGGGGAGGTGATGCCTGTTTTCATAATCTGGATTTACGATTGGAAGTATTGGAGGAGGAGCTACAGTTACCGTTCAGTTTTGTAAGTGGTCATATTCACGAGCTTCTTTTCCATGTGCCTTGGACAAAACTTGCTTCCGAGCCAATCACAATCACAATCAACACAATTGGTAAGAACTTGTAACACCACTGTTTATTATTAGAAACAGAAAGATTTTTAGTGTTGAGTACTGAATGTAATATATAAGTGATGGAACATACCTGAAAATGGTTCCACACATTTATGATACTGTTGTATTGGTATTATTTGAAAACAATTATAAAATTCAAGAACGATCTCTATTATTATCTACTGCAGGATGTTAGGTGGGTCGCCTGTTTCTGTTTCCCAGTAGACCTGGTTGATGAGAAGTTATTGTTCCTGCTCTATAAGTTTCTTTTGTGGTCCCCCAAATGGTTTATTTTTCAACGCTGCCTTAGATAATCTTTCTTGCTTTATTCTGGTGATGTGAGAAACCCATTGCTTCTGCTTCTTTGTTTTAAGACTTTTTTATAATATCTGTACTTCTTTGCCTATCCCTTAATGGTACTCCTGTGAGATGGCATAGAAATGTCATCTGCATGGTTGCCAGTCTTTGCTGACCCCTACTTTTCAGTGTCCAAACTTCTACTTTTCAGTGTCCAAACTTCTCATCTGTACATGAGTGTTGGATTTGAAATCGTATTATTATGTATTTTCAACCTAATCACTTCTGTTACATCCCTTCTGAATTTCTTTTGATTAGTTCATTTGTTGTTTTGTTTTTCTGGATATTGCTTTCCATGTCCTCTGATCTGAGTCCAATGATATTACCTAAATCAGTAAATTTGTAACTTGTTCTGTTATTTGCCCATTAATGACAATTTTAATTCTTTTCATTTCTTTTCCTTGATGAGTGATTGATTTTGCCTTGCTTGTTGAAATTTCATGTTATCTTTCATTGCTGTTTTAAACAATTCATTTGCTGCATTTTGCAGGTCATCTTCTCAACATCTTGCAGGTCATCTCATAAATACATCATCTGCTTAAAGGATTATTTGAATCTTCTGTCTTTTACTGAGATTTAGCCCATCTTTGATCATTATTTTCCATTCCTTGATGATAAGGTTGGCACATATTTTATTGAACAGGCATTGTGGCACACTGCATTCCTGTCTTACTCTCCTGATTACCATGAAAGATTGTGACAAATTTCCATTATTTATTTTTATACTCTTCTGTGAGTCTGCATGAAGATTTTCAATTCTTTTCTTATTTCTGTAGGTATCTTCAGGTTCCTTTCAGTATTTTCCACATTAACTCTTGTTTTACTCTCATTACATGCCTTGTCAATAGCATTGAACAATAGGTACAAGTTGGAAAATTCACTTCACTGCTGCTGTCCAGGATTGTTTGTATTGTAATACAGCATATTTTGTGCTTCTCCTTTTTGGAATCCATTTTGTTCCTCTCCCTGGAAGGTGTCTATTCATTTAGTCAGTTTCTTAATATGTTGGCAAAGAGTTTTGATGCTGTTGGTAGAAGCGTATCCATTTAGTTATTGCATTCTTGTTTTTAATCCTTTCTTACATAAATTTATTATCTTGCTAGTCTGCCATTCTTTTGGGGTGGTGTATTCTTTCCAAACTCAATTGTGCAGTTGTAACATAATGTCCTCAAGTTCTGTAGCCTTGTATTTTATTAGCTCTTTAGCAATTTCATTTATTCCTGAGCTTTTCTTGTACTTAACTTTTATTAGAACCATTTTAAGCTCTTCTTTTGATATCTGTGGCACTATTTCTTGTTGTTCAATTTTTGTGTTGCCCAGCATTGAGTTTGTCATGTTAAGAAAGATATTCTAAAAAATGTATGAAAGAGATGAATTGACAACACATATAATGATATGAGATACATTGCAAACTAATTAAAAATATATTGTTCATCTAAATGAAATTTTTTTGAAACCTTCAAATTCATATTTCAAAATGCAAATAAAATGTTCTTGCTCTGCCTCTCACCATTTTTTCATCTTTTTATTGTAGTTACATAAGGAAATTAGAAATATTTAATGAGGCAAAGAAATTTGATGCTTTTACCTGAAATAGGTTCACTTTTCATTGCAGAATGTATTCTGAAATTACGTACAGACGATCAAAGTTCTGATGATGGAGCTCGTACCAACAGATCAACTGGTACTACCAAAGAAAAGAGGAGAAGGAGGGGTGGGTAAGTAAATCAGTTGGGTGTTTGCTATATGTGCATAGATGTTGAAGCCTCAGCTTATTTAAAATTATAAAATTCAGGTGAATAGAAGTACAAACTTGAGCATAAAAAAAATTGAAATTAAAAGTAAAAACAAGCTTACAAATTTCTTATAATAAGAACTAATTAAGATGTCTATTCAAAAATGCTTGAAAGGCATTATTTCCAGTTGTCAAAATATCATAGTCACCACCCAAATTATACGCCAAACCAAAAATGTGATTCATCATCTCATTCGCGCAATAGTTACTCACAAAAGTGTCAACTAGAAAGGAAGTCGTTCTCCTAAAGATTTGGTACTCAAAATGGTATGGAAGATAGAATGTCTGCGCAGTCTACTCTACCCAACAAAATATTATGTAGGAAAATAAATATTAGCACTCTTTCTTCTACAGTGAAGATTATTTAATTTAGATATTAGAAGAATGAAGGCCAATTCTTTGGGCAAAAACCTGTAGGAACTTGTGTTGAACTTTTTCAGTGGCTGATATACTCGAATTATTACCTCGAATATACTTATTTAAGTGGGAAGTAACAATAGACGAGTTAACAACACCAAAAAAGTTTGCAAATAAATTAACAGATTCCTCTGATCCACAGCTGTTACTCGAGTCATAGTGTATTTTAAATGGATAATCATCTTTTCCAGATAACATCTTAGTATATTTTCAAAACATTTTCATATTTAATATCGAATTTTTAATGTTGCTTGTATAGCTTGAGTAGCAACTCGATTGCAGGAATTTGCAATGTGCTCTCTATCTACAAAAACTCAAATGGGTAGTTTGTGATTTTGTTTGTATATATTGTTTATGCGCTTTTTTCTTCTCGTAAGTACAAGCAATTAGTCACCTAGAACACGATACACGAAACGTAGAGGTTACAGTTGGATACATACCTGTCAATAATTTTATGTAAGATGTTGTAAAACAGATCAACATTGACATTAATATCATCACTCAAAAAGACATCCCAATCAACAGAGTTCAGTGCACCAATAATCAAAGCATAGTCACCTTTATAAAAAGGAAGAGAAATCTGTCTTCTCCATCAGATACATAATGCCAGGCAGATTAACAAGCAGCGAAGAATGATACATATCAGAGGCGATGAGGGGGGTCAATGGATTGCACAATATCGACAATATCACAGTTAGAAAATACAAGGTCCAATAAGTTTCCTTTAACATTTACAATGTCAAGTTTTTGTACAACGTTTGCCATTGATAAAGCTTCAACAATACAGAGAGCGGAATTCATAATATGTAAGGGAACTGATGAAGAATAAGTGCAAGCAGGCACTTCCCCTGTCAAAACCAGACAGGTTGAAATCACCAGTGAGAAGGAATTTCGAATCTGAAAACTGTTCTAAGATGTCTTCAATATCATGTCCATAAATTTCATACAAGGATGTTTCAAATATTGGTGAAAAGTACACTGTCTCAATAATGAGGTTGAGATCATCCAAAACAACCTGAATAAGTTGATGTTCAATCAGATTTGATGTTCTTAGCTTATCCGACAAAAATATATTTTGAACAGCAATAAGTACACTTCCACTTCTCGTATTACAGTTTGAGGTAGTATTTCTGTCACATCTATACAGAGTGACCAATAAAAGACCAAGTTCACTATCAGCAAAACTACTGCGTAGCAAGGTTTCAACCAAAGTAATAACATCATACACCATACCAGCAGCATTAAGCAAATTAATCAGCTCAATAGTCTTTGTATGTAGCCCTCTAACATTCTGGAAATATACAGAGAATGCGGGCGAGCTATGAAGGATGCCACCATTTGCCAGTTTGTTCGATGCTCAGTAATCACAGGATTGCCCTAAATTTAGCGAATACACAAGTGATTCTCACCATCTGCAATCCTGCTATTCAGTTCATCCCTCAATATTGACAGATTAGTTTGTTGCCAAGGGGTTAAGTCATTCCTTATTTAGACCATACCCATTCAATCGTTTACCATTTCTGAGAACAGTTTCCACATCAGAGGGATTAGAAAAATAATTTTTTATCGATCTCGCACCAACAGTATGAGGTT